TGGTAAAACGCCCCCCTGGCCACGGCCGTCAATTGATCTTCTAGTGTCAGCCGTGGATCCAGGAGGACACCCAGATTGCGTACCCTCTCTGAGGGAGCCAAAATTTCGCCCCCTATAGTCAGCGACGGAGTCAGCTGACTATGCCTGGGAGCCGGCAACCACAGCCACTCAGTCTTGGAAGGGTTGAGTCTGAGTCTGTTTCTCCCTCTCTCCCTGTCAAGCCCCGGCAGGCTGGACATGAACAGGCGGGGGAGGAGTCGAGGACGGGCGGGGTGGCAAAGGAGACCGGCTGACAAGCTCAAGTTTGGGGGTCGCCAGCTGACGGGCGCAGGAGTTGGGTGCTGCCCCGGCCTCCCCTTTGCTGACCTGCATGCACGAGAAGAAGTCAATCCGATTGCTGCACAATGAGTCTCTGGGGAGGGCGGGGCCTTGCTCTGCGCCTGCGCTCTTCATGCACCCCCTGCAGGGCACATTTGGTAGAGTTTGTGCAGATTGCCGCCAAGCAGCATATTTTCCACAAACAAGTGAGGTGGAGTGGTTGGGGGGAGGGAGAGAAGGCGGTTGATGAGCCCTGCCTAAGACCATCGGAAATATGTGTTTTCCGATGGTCTTAGGCGACCCCTGTGAAAGGCTCGTGCGACCCCAAAAAGGGTCGCGACCCACAGGTTGAGAACCGCTGTTCTAGAAGGTTGCTTTTTTTCCCCCCTAAAAAGATTCATATGTCACAATCACAAAAATTCTTGGTGGCTCATAAATCCAAGAAGACATGTCACGGGAGTGTCAGCCTCTTCACCTTCTCAACCTTTCTTTTCCCACTCCACTGTTATCAATGTTCCAACACAGCATATCCGTTTCCAGAGACTTTATAGGAAAAGTCTCACTAACCTTTACAGAGGCTTTATAGGAAAAGCAAAATAGCAATGAATCAACTAGAAAGTGTTCAAATATCTCCACCTGCCATATCATTTGTTTGTGTGTGTGTGTGTGTAAGTTGAGTTGCACTTAGCAGAAAACTTTATTGGGTGTGATCAAAATATCATTTGTTTCAAGAGTCAAATTGAATTACTGGTTGCATTACTAATTTGGTTTTACTTAAATGCAAACTTAAGAAATCAGAAGGCAATTGAATGGTGAAAAAGAGTTGAGCCTCAGTACTGTGCAACATTATGCTTCCCTCTTTACTCTTGTGGTGTCTTTTATTCCAGTGAGTATACATTTTTCTTTGATAATGAATTTGTTTATTGTTATTGGTTCAAAATGTACACAGCTGTATTCATAACTTGCCACAATACCTTATATTGAATAGTTTTGAAGAAAGTTCAAAAGCATTTGATTTAAATTTCAAAAGAGGCTTCAGCAGTGGACTAGGGCCAACCTGCTATATCTTTCATTAAGCAGATTATAAGATGTCATGCATTTCTTTACATGTCTGTTATTTTTATTTTTTCTTAAAGGATGCGGTTAAATGACCAAATTATTGAAGTAGATGGAGTCAACATGGTTGGTGTCTCACAGGATTTTGCCTCTGCCGTTCTCAGACGTACTAAAGGAAGAGTCAGGTAACATTTTCTAGGAAACCCTAGAAAAGAAATGAAAATAAATTTAATGCAACTATGCTATGAAATAAAATTTAATGAAATGAAAATAAACTTAATGCTACTGTGTAGTAACACAAATAGTGTAACCCAAATAAATGGAGTGAAAACAATTACATTTTCAAAAAGTGTTTTGCATTAATACATCTATACTTAATATATTAGATATTAAATATTATTCTACTGGTTGTTACTTCACATTTGACAAATGGTACAGATGGCCCTTGCTTAATGACTTCTCATTCAGCACTGTTTAAACTTATAACAGCAAGACTGTCTATCTTTCTGGCCATCAGAGCATCCTGCAGTAAGTCATGACAATCTAGATATTCAGCAACTGGCTTGAAATTATGATTTGCACTCTCTCATATTAGGAAGGTGGATAATATGCGTTGTCTTTCCCTTTTAGTCATCTGTGACTTTTAATTCTCCTGCAGCATTTGTTTCTAAACATTTCACTTTCCTTAGTTAGAAGATTTCTGTTACTTTTAAATTTTTCCTTAAAAAAATTAGACATTACAGGTAGTCCTCAACTTATGACTGCAATTGAGCCCAAGATTTCCCTTGCTAAGCAAGACAGTTGTTAAGTGAGTTTTGCCCCATTTTATGACCTTTCCTATCACAACTATGTGACAATATTTAAGGGGCTCTGCAACCAGCTGAGATTTATGGCCATTTGCAGTGCCCTGCAGTCATATGACTACAATTTATGATGGTTTTGCTGGAAACCTGCGTTTACTTCTGCTTCCTGGCAAAAGAACACCCCATAGTGAACAATGGCTTTCCTTTACGACCTCTGTGTTTGTTTAATGATTGCCACAAAAAAGATGATAAAATTGGGCCTGGTCACATGGTGACCTGCTTACAACAATCATAACTTGCAATTGTTATTGCCAGGGTCAATTATGGTCATAACTCTAGGATTATCTGTTTTATCTAAAAATAGTTTTCTAATTTTGATGGACATGCATACAACCTCAGGATTATAAAGGTAAGTGAAAGCCACATGCTGTTTTGCTCCTGTATGGGATGTATGCATGTGTGCAGCTTCTTACATGATCCCTTAGTCTTGTGCTATTTTGAATGTTGTTATTCAAAATGTTTCAACTGTTTCTCCTTTATTGTATAGAACAGTCAGGTACAACTATCTGGTATAAAAGGCTTGGCTCCTTAATACAGTCATTATTCTTTTCAATAAAGTCAATAGAACAAAAAAATACACAAATTGATATACATAAGTTCAAGTGCTTATTTAGTAGAGACACCTAAATTTGCAGATAGTAGAAACACCTCTGCTGCTTCAGAGAACCTAATTTGTAAATTTATTCTGCATTAAAAATGTAAATGATTTGTAATTCCTCATTTAAAACAAATTTAGTATAACTCAATTGCAGACAATGCACTATAAAATATATGCTTTAAACGAAAGGTTTGGGCTTTGATTATGCCGTTCCCTTTATTTGATAAAGTGAATATAAGTCCACAAATGTTTAAAGCCATATTAGTTGTAAGATGTTCCAGTACTGTTTTCTGTATTTGGATATTTAGTAATAAGAGAAGAGGGGGGAATTATCCTTGTTCATTTATGTTCTCCTCAGGTTTATAATAGGCAGAGAAAAAGCAGGCCAAGTAAGTGAAGTGGGTAAATTGATTAAACAGACCATAGAGTATGACCAGCGCCACAGAGGCCGCCATTATGCCCATTATGAAGCTGATGATGATGATGATGAGGTATCCTGTTCATTCCTTCCTTATTTATTTATATTTCATTCTTTCTACTTTTAACATTTTTTGGTAGTTGCAGCTGGAAATAATACCTTCTTCCAAAGTTAACTATTTCACTATTTTCTGATTCTTTTTTGAAGTCAAAAACTGAGAATCCAGGTTTGATTATTTTTAAAAGCTTCTAGCTTTCACTTTAGTTGCCATTGCGAAAAAGAAGAGGTAGGGATCCCTAATCTTCAAGCATACAAATGGGTAATTCACACTTAGGTAGTAAAGTTATTGTGAAATAAGTAATATAAAAAAAACTGCTTTTCTTCTCATCTAGAACAGTTCTAGAACGTTCCACCTTCCTGGTTCCATTATTTACAGATTTTCTGACTTTTATTTGCTGTTAAAATTGATTAGATTTACTTGTCTGGGGAATTTTTTTTGCAATAAAACCAATTGACTCTTTTGCTTAGTGACAGTATGTTAAAAATTGTTTAAACAAATTGTTAAAAAAATAAATTGGCTTCCAAGACAGAGGAATGTGCTACAGATGAAGATGAAGAAGATATTGGAGCCTTTTCAAGAGGCAGAAAGACCACTCACTTTTTTGAATGTCCTGAAAATGATGACATGCTTTCTCCTAAAGAACTGGAAAGATTGGCTCAGAAATTTAAAGAGGTAAACCAGAGAATTAGAAATTAGAAATTGTAAAACAAAAGCTTGTATTCGGGGTTCAGAAAATATTAAAAATATTTTCACTGGTACAGTCTCCTCTCAGTGTAGAGTGTAATATTGCCCATTTGCATTCACAGTTAATGGGTACATGGCTTGAGCACAATTAGAGAATTGTGGTTTTTTAATTTTTAATTCTCTAATTCTGATTTATCCTACAGCAGCCACCAGATTGTCTGTAAGACTATAACCAAGTTATGAGGTCAACGGTTCTCTTCCATGATTCATTTCAAACTGGTTTTTGGAACCGTGGTAACACAAACCCGTTTTCATTTCCTTCTTTAATATTAGAAAAAAATCTGCAGAGACTTAGAAGACGGAAGCAGTTGGTTTAAAATAAGTGTTGTATGATAGCAATAAAAGGAATTCGCTAGAGGATGAATTTCATTCATCAGTGTTATATCCCTCTTTATCTCCAGGACCCCAAGACAGCATTTATAGCATTAATTTCTCCAGTTTTCCCCCAACATAATAATTGAGAAGTTGATTGAGCCAAGAGATAAATTATACGGCTAAATTTAACTAGTGAATTTCTATGACTGAGAGTAGGTTTCAATGTAGATCAGGGGTCTCCAAACGGCAATGTTAAGATTTGGGGACTTCAACTCGGCTGGTTGTGCTGGCTGGGGAATTCTGAGAGCTGGAGTTCACAAGTCTCCAACTTGCCCGATGTAGATCATCCCTACCTTAATCCAGCCCCTTGCCGTCTCTTGTTAGACTGATGTTCCACATATCTCTTCATCTTATAATAGTACACTGCCTTCCGTATCAAAGAAAAGCTTACCTCTGTTTATACTGAAACAGTTAATTGTGTTCATAGAGGTTCATTCCCAAGTAATTATTGGATTGCTTCTATTACTTTGTAGGTATTACATTTTGAATTTAGTTAGGAGTAAACATGATTAATTTTACAAAATAAATTTCTGTTGTTGAGATAGTTTTTTATGCTATATTTATTGTGTGTCGTATTATGTTCTACTCAATTATCTAAATACAACTGGTGTTCATTGTTTATACTGATAATACAAGAACCTGTTTTAATAGCAGAGAAAACATTGAGTAAACCATCTGTATGTGGACAGATTGTAGTTTTCAAAGCTATTTGAAAACCTGTTTGTTTAGAAACCTAAATATAGTTCAGTGACTTATAGTATTGTTTTAGAAGGGCAAAATCGACCATAAGCTTTGAGGATAAGAGTGATTTATGGCTTTATAATTTTTTTTAAAATCCAGTTCTGGAATTCATATTTTCAGATCCCTCCCCTTTCCCAGCCACCAAACCCATTAAAATGGGCACAAACTAAGCAGTTATTCTGCAGTTAGTTGGACAAACACATTATTTATTGTAACTCTGGAATGGAAGACATTTACAACCAGTTTTAGTGCTGTCGTATCTGGACTACAAAATTCCAGATGTGGAATATGTTCTTGCTGCCAACTACTGATCAAGTCAGTTTTGCAGTCTACTTCTGCTTATAAGCCATACATTTTATTCCTGTCCTTTACATCAGACTTTTCTCATAGTTTATCAAATATTTCATTGAAGAGAATTGCAAGTTTACTTCTTCTTTTTTTACATTTTTGCTGTGAATATCTGTCCATAAAGCACCCTTTCATTAGCAGGTAAATACTTGGATTTTGATCTGGTGTTGACCACTGTTTAATTTATCTGACCACTGCTTGTTTCTTTGTATCACAATCTTTTACTTTCCATTCATCATCACAATTTTTATTTTAGAGTTGAGATAATTTGTCTTCCCAGAAACTTCCAAATCTGGAATTTATGTTTCGGAGATTCTAAGAAATAAAGGTAGAAGGAAGATAGCTTAAAAAATTATTCAATTATTTTTAACAGTTTGAGGGTTGCAAGCTTTTCCTTTTGGTTAGAGTATACATGTATATTTCTATTGTTTCCTCCATAGTACTGATGTATTTCATAGGTTATTTCAGGTTTTGCTGCTACCTTAGGACACGTCTGCTTAAACAATTGCACTAATATTTTTTAAAGTATTTATATGCACTAAAACATTTAAATCCAGGCTGGCTAAGAAACTGAATATGACAATACATCTTTAAGAAGAAATGACTTTACTAGGCAATTTGAATATCCTAATCTTATATTTGGAGAGGCTAGCCAGCAATACTTTTTCTTTAATTAACTTGCATAGACTGAGTCATTTTTCAGGTTAGATATTTTAGTTTATATTTGAATGCACGGCAGCACTCTTATGAACCTCCCACTGCATGTACAGCAAACCTGACTCAGATAGACAGATCTCTCAAGATGTATGCAGGCACAAATATATGTATGTAAGAACAATGGCGTTTGCAGCTCACTTGTTTGCTTTGCATTTTTAGTTGCAAGTCAAGCATACAATTACAGAAACTGAGATTAAACAGCTGAAAAAAAAGGTAAGGATGATTACGACTACCAAATGACAATATTTCTAGTTTCAGATGGATTAAAAGAGAAGCAAAGAAAAGTTATTTTTAGAAAGATGTAAGAAGAAAAAGTAATATCCTTAGTTGATTTAGGAGAACTTGTGTTATACAAATAGTTTTACAGGTAGACCTTGACTTATGACCACAATTGAGCCCAACATTTCTGTTGCTAAGTGAGACATTTATTTAGTGAGTTTCGCTCTGTTTTACTATATTTCTGGCCATAGTTGTTAAATGAATCACTGCAGTTGTTAAGTAGATAACATGGTTGTTAAGTGAATCTGGCTTCCCCATTGACTTTGCTTGGCAAAACGTGATCACATGATGCTGGGTCACTGCAACTGTTATAAATATGAGTCACATGACTGTGGGGATACTGTAATTGTCTGTGGGGATACTGTAAGTGTGAAAAACGGCCATAAGTCACTTTTTTCAGTGCCGTTGTAACTTCAAAAGTTCACTAAATAAACTGTTGTAAGTTGAGGACCTCCTGTATTCAAATCTCTGTGAGAAACATATAACACATTAATTTAATATTACTGCATTTACATACTACATTTTTATTTCTTTCCCCATCACAAGACCATTAACAGTCTTGAAAGAAAATGATAAAGCATATATATATATATATATATATATATATATAGCGGAACCGCGTTCCGGCACCTTTTTCCGGGCCGGCCGCACCGGAAATAGCCCCTCCCAAATTTTACTTGCATCCTGTTCTCTAAAGGGGCGGTCCTAGGGTTTGATGAGGGCGTGTAGCATTTTTGAAAATGTTGTTTTGTTATTTAATAAGAGACTTTTTAATCACTTTAATAACCTATGTTACTTCTAACTTGCTTTGGGAGACTTTAATTTTCCTTGCTTTGATCAAATATTATATTTTAGAATCAAAATCTTGTCAATTTATTTATATTGTTATCTTTGAATTCATATTTAAATTCAGAATGAAACCACATTGTTTCTGACATTTGAATTGTGCCCAATAATTTTTGGAGTTCTAATTTTTAATGTATGTTCACAACCCTTATAATTCTGAACTTTTTTAGAAGTAAATGCTAGACATGAAATTAAAAATAAAGAATGGTTCCTTAGTATGAAAGCACATAGAATTGAAATAACATTATACATAACATACCAAATACATTGAACCTAGTATTAATGTACTCAAGTACATCTAATTTAATTTCATTTATCACTGTTCATTTATCATTTATCACTGTTAACAATACATTTCATAAAGGTTTCTTTAAGCACTTAAATGCTATTTTTTTAACTATAGGCATCTACGTAATGCATGGTACTGTTAAACATGGTATCAGCAAACTACACCTAGCAGTTATTTGAACCAGGGCTTTTTTTCAGCCGGAACGCGGCGGAACCGCGTTCCGGCACCTTTTTCCGGGCCGGCCGCACCGGAAATAGCCCCTCCCACACCGGAAATAGCCCCTCCCAAATTTTACTTGCATTCCTGTTCTCTAAAGGGGCGGTCCTAGGGTTTGATGAGGGCGTGGCCAGGTTTGAGTTCCGCCACCTTTTCT